TAATTATATTAAAAAGACATTTGGACTATTGATTACAATTGTTTTTAGATTGGTCGTATATTGTAGAAATGTGGTCCAGCCCTCATGAAATAATCGTTGACTAGGAAAACATAATAGGATAGAGAGTGATAAAGGGAGAGAGAGAATAAAAAATAGAAATAAAAGAACTGACGATATTTCTCGCCCAACATTATCGTTATGGTCTCATCTATATTTTTTTACAAAATTTACATGGAGGCCACCCCTCCCTTCACCTCTTATTTTCAGTTTTACATTTATGTCTGATGTTTCTGACATCGATTGAAAAATTCAAGATTTTATCTATTTTATACTGCTTAAAATCAAAATCTATTTTACTCGTGCTCATAAAACTTAACTTATAATTAATTTTAAGACTCCAAATTTCGATGATGTAACCTCTTCAAATGACCTTTAGCCCCTCTTTGAAGTTTTCATTCCTATTAGCCCTTTGGGTTTACCAAAATCCGTTGCACCCCTCAAGCTTAAAACTTTGGGACCATTAGCCCCCTATTATGTTTTTCTTTGATTTTTTTTACAAATCGCATATCTTTGTTTTATAAAATGGCAAAACCATACATTTTTTTTTTGTGACTTGATATACAAATTTTATTGATGCTAATAATAAGTATTATTATAATTAACTAATAATTAAAATAACAACTATTATATATATTAATTGTTGAATAATTCATCTCTTATAGGTATTTTGATAAAAAATTTAGTAAATAAATAAATAAATAATAATAATCCATTAACAATAGTAACAAAGATCTTGATTGTTCATTTTTCAAGTTCAAAAGATATTGATGCAATTGTAAAATAGGTCATAATATTAAAAAAAAATTTATTTTCTTTTCATGTCTAAATTTATAAAGCGGGATCCATAGAAATAATATGGGTTTTATGCAACGGAAGAGAAAGGGAAAGTAGCATTTTGTAAAACAATAAAAAACAAATTTGTAAAAAAAAAAAAAAGGGCAAACACAATTAGGGAGCTAAGGTCCCAAAATTTTAAACTTAAAGGGGTACATGGGATTTTGCTTAACCCAAGGGGTTAATAGGGATGGAAGTTCGGGGGAGGGGGGTAGAGGTCATTTTCCCTATATTAATTTCGATATGAAATTTTTCCTAATTATATCCTCTATACATGTGAAAAAAATAATATCTCAAGATGGAATAGAAACCCTCCAATTTTTAGATGGTTACATCTAAGTGTTAGAAAACGCAAATTTTAATTTTTTTTAATAATCGTCTAATAATTATTATGTGGATCCTAAAATTTCACGTTGAAAAAATACTCTCAAGCAGATCTTCTCATGGTAGGAGTAAAAATAAACCATACTCCCAATGGATTACTAAAAACATGGGCCTCCCCATATTACTTCCTACTTTCTCTCTCTTACTTGGTTCCCTACAACCCCGCTCTAAGTTTCTGCTTCCAACTTCCATACTGTGTAAAGGAGAAAAGCAAGTGCCACTGCTCCCACATTTTCTGTCCTGAGGAGAATAAAATCTAAGTATTTTTATTTTCATTTTCTCTTTCTAGGGATTTCTCTCTTCCTAGGGATTTTTCTATTTAAGACAAAAGGGATTGTATGAGAATATTTATTTTTAGTATAAAGAGGTCACAATCATACTTTTAACTATTACAAAATCCAATAGTTGAAAATGTGTCACAATATTGGAGATGTTTTTATGAATTTTATGCCCAAACAATGACGCATCTTCAATCTCTCAATTTCAAATCCAGTGATCAATTGTAATTCTGACCTCCTTGTTGTTAGCGTACGGATATCTATATTAATATACAACATTATGAATACATATAAGTATAGATATGTATATGTATGGGTATTATCTCTTAATTAGGCATCTCATGATTATGATAAAATTAGTCAGTAAATTGTCTATAACCGTTGGTATTTATCTTTAATTGTTACTGGCCGTATATTTATACGGGGTCTTGTATATTCTTGATGAATCAATAAAGAGAGAGTTTCTCTGTAGTATTCTGAGTTTCTAACATGGTATCATAGGCTTCTCGAGCTTAGATCTCAACCTCAGCTCGCACCTCATATCTGAGGTTAGGTTGCCATTCCGATTTTATATGATAGATATATCCTCAAAAAAAAAACAAGGCCCTCTTTTCTCAGTCTAGGTATCCATAAAAGAAAAACCCATGTCTCAGGATCTCTAGAGCTTGTTGTGTTCTCAACCTTTGTGCATAAAGCAAGCTTCTTTTGCATCATAAATGTCTAATGTTAATCCCTTTGGCTTGTTGGGTGACAATGATAACAATGACCAATCGCTTCTCATTGTTACTTAGGAGATCAACGGTGCTTCTAAGAAGCCAATGTTGGAGCAACCACCTGTACAGGCTAAGCTTCTCGCTAAACCCCTTCCTCCTGCCCAAGCAATGAGAGATTCAAAAGACACACTTTGTTATTTTTCCCTAGCCACGGACCATCTGTTTTATAGTTACTTAGAACCCCCTTTGATGTCGCCTACCTCTCTCTAAAATTCTTTTGGGTTGTATTAAAATTGTGCTTTGCCTTATGATCAAGTTGAAATTGTATTTGCTTTCAGCAAACCTTGACGTCCCTTGCAAACCTTATTCAAAACTCTCATTCTTGAAATAATACCCCTGGAGTTGTGGATCGGCAGGTATTTTTTCTTGGCAAAACACACTTTACTATTTTATCTTTCTACGCAAAAACTTCAACTTTCCCTTTCGTCCATAAACTTTAGCTCTCCCTTGCATCCATAAACTTTTGCTCTTCCCTTTATCCATGGTTGAATCATTCAACACGTTCAGTTTCATGAGAGAAACTCATAGATCAAGGAAGCACAGCCAAATGCCTCCGAGTCGTGTTTTGACTCCTTGCTGAGTCTTGTTTTGACTTTTTGCAAAACAACATCTGTCTTTGTTCCGGTCTGTATTATGGACTACGAGTTATTGAATCTGTTTCAGAGTGCAAGTTGCTAAATTTATCTCGGATCCACACCGAGTTCTGTTGGCTCTTCCAAGTATAATTCTTGAAGTGCCATTCTGCACTTCTTATTCAAGCAATAGACCATTGCTTATATTGGTCATACCATGCACGTGAAGACTTAAAGATCCAACTCATTCGTTTATGCAACTTATTGTTCAAATCTATCTCGGATCCACACCGAGTTCTGTTGGCTATTCCAATTATAATTCTGTGAAGTGCCATTCTGTACTTCTTGTTCAAGCAATAGACCACTGCTTATATTGGTCAAGCCATGTATGTGAAGATCCAACTCGTTTGTTTATGCAACTTAGTGGTCAAATTCCAACTGCTTTGTGTAAAAGCATCTTGAGTTTGAAGGGAAGTATTAGCGTATGGATATCTATATTGATATACATCATTATATCTATATTGATATACATCATTATGAATACATATCAGTATAGACATGTATCTGCATAGGTATATATCTATTAATTAGGTGTCTCTTGATTATGATAAAATTAGTTAGCAATTATCCATAACTGTTGGTATTTATCTTTGATTGTTACTGGCCGTATATTTATACGGGGTCTTGCATATTATTAATTAATCAATAAAAAAATAGCTATCTGTAGTATTCTAAGTTTCTAACACTTATATCAAAAGTAAATAGCCTCAACTATAACACCCAATCTTTTATAGAGAGAGACTACCCCAATTTAACTTTTAGAGTGGGCAAGAACCTCAAAATTTCTAGAGAGAGAATAATCTCAACATTTTTAGAGAGAGAAACTATCTAAAATTTTTAGAGAGAAGCTATCTCAAATTTTACGTTTTAGAGAGATAAAGTAGTTGAAAATTTTTAGAGAGAGAAAGAATCTCAAATTTAAAAGTGTAGAGAGGAAAGTATATTAAAATTTAAGAGAGACAAAATATTTTAAAATTTAAGATAACGAAACTATATCAAATTTTAGAGAGAAACGATCTCAAAAGTTTTAGAGAGAGAAATTATCTTATATTTTAAGTTTTAGAGAGAGAAGTATATTAAAATTTTAAAGAAAAACTATATCAAATATTAGAGAAAAAAAGTACTTGAAATTTTTAGAGAGAAACTATATCAAATTTTAAGTTTTAAAAGGAGAAAATATCTTAAAATTTTTGAGAGAGAAACTATATCAAATTTAGAAAGAGAAACAGCTTGAAACTTTTTAGAGAAATAAATTATCTCAAAATTTTTAGAGAGTAATCAAAAAAATTATTGTGATGAACAAAAGTCATTTAACAAAAAAAAGTAAAAAAGAAAAAAAAAGAAGAAAATATTATGCATTCATTTGTCATCTGCAGAAATCTATTTTATAAGTAATACTTTTATATAAAAAAAAACATATAAAAGGAAATAGATTTTTTCATGTAATCTTTTTCCATGCATCCAAACGACCCCTCAGTTTGTATTTTCTCCCTCTAGTGACGGACAAAATCTCTATCTTTTGATTTGCCTGCTCTCTTATTATGTGTTTTGAGTGACTGAATCACAGATGCCTTTGTGAGTAAAAGTTACATCATTTTGGCTCTCTCTCTCTTGGAAGAGTTTAATTCCATGGTTTATGGTAAGGCCCTTTTTACCACCTAAAAATCAGCTCTTTCTCTCTCTCTAGAATTCAATTCCGTGGTTCATGGTAAGACCTAAAAATAGAAAAGAAAATTGTAAGAAGAGTGAGAAAGTATGTAGATATAGTAAAAAACGAGAGAGAAAAAAAAAAAGAAACGTAGAAAGAAGAGAGAAGAGAAAGAGAAAAGGTCTATTATTTGAAAGAGAAAAACAAGGGACTAAGAGAAAAAACAGTTAGTCTCTAAGCTCTAAAAACATCTCCACCTCTCTTTATCCCAATGAAGTAGGGTAAGAAGACCTAGCCCCAACACCCACCCCTCTTAATCCGTTTTCATACACCACTTCCTCTATCCTACACCACCCATTCTCTCCTTATAATCCCTGACCCATTGCCAACCCTTGCTCTTGGGTACTTGCATTAAGGGAGCTCCGGCTCCATCAAAATAAAGAAAAACCAAAGGACCCACTAGCCCTAGCCGAGCCCACTTATCGAGCCTAGCACGAGCTCATCATGTCTTCTTTCCAGGGCTACGGCCACCTCTCCCAACGGGCTCCCCCTCGCTCCCATAAACGGCGTAACCTGTGCGTGGCGGGCGTGTCGATTATAGTGGTTGCCGCCATTGTCATCGGTATCTTGGCGACAGTCACGCGATCGCACAATGGCTCGAGCTATGACGCGTCGAGTTCGGGCTTGGGCTCAGGGGACGGGCTCTCCACCACCATGCGGGCCATCACCACCATTTGTGGTCCTACGGACCATAAGCAGGCAAGGTTCATAAGGCCTTGAAAATAACGGTTGTTATAACATGAGCTGACCTCATCAATGCTGGACTTTATAACGGTTGCAATGGATGATATAACAATAAATAACCACTGCCCAATGTGTCATGTTGATTTAAAAGCTGAGAAAAATTCACATTGTAAATGGAGGCTGGATGCGTTTAAAATGATATAACTTTGCATATAACTGGCGTTGTTCCTAATCGCTGGTTTTCGAACTTTACGTGCAGGCATGCATCGACTCGCTGTCACAAATCGTTGGCAACAACGCCTCCGCCACTGCCTTGGAGCCCAAAGAGCTCATTGCCGCCTCGGTGAAGGCCACCATAAAACAGGTCACCGGCGCTCTAAAGCTCTCAGATTCCATGAAGGCCACCGCCACCAACGGCACAGACGGCCGGAGACTCGAGGGCGCCATCGCGGACTGCAAGCAGCTCCTCAGCTTTGCGATCGACGAGCTCCAGGATTCGTTCTCGGACATATCGGGCAATGACATGAAGAGCCTCCCGGACCGAGCCTACCAGCTCAGAGTCTGGCTCAGCGCTGTCCTCACCTACCATGAGACCTGCGTCGACGGCCTCGACCACCCTGAGCTCAAAGCTACGATGCGAGACGGCCTCGCCAACGCGACCGTCATGACCAGCAACGCGCTTGCAATCATCACCGAGATCTCGAAGATCCTGTCGAGCTTCCAAATCCCGTTTTCGATTCCCTCGAGGCGGCTTCTTGAAACCGGGTTCCCCGAGTGGCTGAACGAAGGGGACCGCAGGTTGCTTGCCGGCGGCGGCGGTGTCCGGCCCAACGCGGTGGTGGCGAAGGACGGAAGTGGGCAATACAAGAAGATATCAGACGCGGTTGCAGCGATCCCTGAGAATTTCCAGGGGAGGTGGATTATTTATGTGAAGGCAGGGATATATGAGGAGAAGGTGACGATACCAAAAGATGCGAACAATGTGTTCATGTACGGTGATGGGGCAAGGAAGACGATTGTGTCCGGGAGGTTGAATTATGTTGATGGGACCAGCACTTTCCAGACAGCCACCTTCAGTAAGCCTACTTTTCTTTCATAGTTTGAGAGAGAGAGAGAGTAGATTCTACGCTTGTGCCGGTTTTGGTGTTCCGATCGGGTATTTAAAATATATATATTTGAGTAAGGATTTTACGTGACCCTTCCACACCATGTCTAGTATCATTATTAAATTTGATATAAATCTCTAAAAAATTCCAATCTTATGCACATGAGTTTGGGATAATCTTCT